GCCATTTTGTTCCCAACCTCTTGTTACTTTTAAATATTAATATATAAGATTTGAATGGACATCTATCATAAAAAATTGAAATCGTCGTATTTGATGACTATTAATTAAGTCCATCAAAAACGTTGTTTTCCATGTTTTATAATGGATGTTCACCTAAAATCCCATATATTCATATTTGAAATAAGCAATAGGTGGGAACAAGATGGCGGCGTTTTCAATACAAATATATGGGATTTTAGAACCAATCAAAAATAAGACAGCAATTGTCGCCACTTTGGGTAATAGAGTCACTGTATGTATAGCTGGTGAGCTCGTTTCATAATAGGAAAAATTGGCTGTCCCACTTTTTGTGCTCACGACTGTATATGTACCAGCAGTGTTATAAAACATTTTATTAGTGGTACCATTATGAACCATAAGGGTTGTACAAACTAGACTTCACCTGCACCAACTGGTACAAACACAGATATGAGGCGCCAATATGAAATTTTAGGTTGGGATTGGCCTCGAGCTACTTCGAAATACCGAGTAGTGCACGGTAGCACCAATTTTAATGAAAAAATACAAGGTTAGTAGTCTACGGAACGTGGTAGTACATATATATACCCGCAGTATCGAAAGGGTTAAGAGGGTATAATGATGATTAGACTTGTATATTTGTCAATTCAACTTTACGAGGTTCAAAAATGAGCTGTTTAGCACAATTTCAACTCTTCTGTGGCCTTAATTCAAAACTTCTCTGGTTCAATTTCTACTCTAACAGAGTAATACTTCTGCACTTATTTACCTAGATTTCAACTCTACGAAGGTCAAACAGTTAAACTTTATCATCATACACCGCATTATTTTATTCCTAGAAGAGCTGGTTATTTAATGTTTAGGCTTCTCCAGTCGAATTTTAGCTCTATGGAGATCAAAAATGAGCTGCACCTTGTACCTCTCACTCTGAACTCCCCCAATGCACATAGATCGCCGTTTCAAATATCAGAAGTTAAACTTCAATTTTAGGAGCACAATATGAATTCTAGAATGATCAAAAATCGCAATAGCTAGGAGAACGATTTTTCAATCAGAACTATTTCTACGGAGCTACTTCTAGCCCAATTTTAACTCTTTTAATAAAAAGTTTTGGATCCATTTCAGTATTATTGGTAATGCCTTTTGGACTCTGTAATGCCCCCGCTACTTTTCAGAGGTTGATGGAAATCGTACTATACGAGGAGGTAGAAAGTATGCCTTATCTACCTGGATGATGTGTTAATGATGGGAAAAACTTTCAAGAAGTATCTACTCATTTCCGTAAGACAAAAATAGGATTAAATGACAAGAAATGTGGACTCTTCCAACAGCGCGTTGAATTCCTTGGTCACGTAACTTCTTCAAATTCAGATATATTCTTGCTTTGTCGCTCAGGTGGATGTTTATATTACTTCTCCTTCACTTTCATTTTCAGAAATTGGTGTCTTGAGAAGTATTTTTGGAGTGGTCGAGCTGGTGTTTTTCTGTTTTTGGTATTTGCATCTTAGCGATAGTTTTTCTTTTCGGCAGGTTCTTGCGATTAGGTATTTTTTACGAATTTGCTCCTTTAGAAACTCCTAAGTCTAAAGGTGTTTCTTTGGAGTTTTCAGTTGTTTTTCATTTTAACTACTTCAATGAGCTACTGTTTTTTTTTTCTCTTCTCACGCGGACTTCCATAATCACTTGTTTTGCTTCATAGACAATGCTCACGACTATGTCATAGGCGGTTGTCAATAGGTCAATTACGTCATACATATTTAACGATAGACTTAAAAATTTACAAAAAAAAAAAAAAAACATATTTAACAGTATTTAGTGAAAATATGGTATTATAAGGTATAAGGTCCAACCTCACAACTATGTGATTACCCTTGTCCATGAAAGAGTCGAATCCTTAGAAATTCCTTTTTTCCATAATCCAAGACTTTCACTGCTGCAGTTCTAAGATCCGTTCTCTTTTTTCAGCTATTTTCTCATTTCTCGCACATAATACTCTAGAAAGTAGATTGAATTGAATTGAATATTGAAATATCATGCGTTAGTTTCGTTCATTGTACTTCATTTCATGCTACAGTTATTAGCAAATTTAATATATCAAAATTAAACTCGTAAGAATCATTCTGCAACCTCTCAATAATTGTCTTTGACCATTCTGAAACGTCTACGATAACACTTGTACCTAGGTGTTAATGACCAGTAAATTGAATGATTGCTATTAAATTGGTATATGGATTTTGCCATACTGAGCTTGTGCCGTTGAATCTTTAGGATTGGTCTCAAATGCCACAAGCAATTTCAGTAAAATATAATTGATTCTCGACTTCCACTAATGTCATGGCACCAATCATACCTTCATTCAGCTCATCTACTTATAGGTTTTCTGCTGAGTATTTGACAACTTCTGATAAGGAATTTTGTATTGATATGATAAGATAATTGATAGCGTAGACTTTTCAGTTCTACATTTTTGGATTCCGGATTGTGGCGAGTTCATCCTGCAAATCGAAAAAAAATGTGATTATGCTGAATCTGCACCAACATAAGGTGTATATCAATGTGTACAACAGTCGACAATGTGTACCTACAACAAGAACAATAATTCTACAACTTGAGTTTGAGGTTACTGGTTATGCGCCTTTTTCTGTGTTGTTTTTTGGTAGAGGCTATTGAAAATACACGAATGTTATACAGCTCGCCCTTGAAATACATACACGAAAAACATACACGAAAAACTACACAAATGTGAAACCCGCTCAAGTAGGTACAATATGAAGTTACATACTATAACTACGGCTGCCAACTAATTCACGATGTAATCTTACTTAAATCAAAGTCTATAGCTTAAATCGTTGATTTAATAATAGGTATCATTTCAGAGAAATTTGGTTCTAGTAACTTATAGGTTCCAACTTCTAAGGAATTATTGCGCATTTGGATATCACTTTAAGAATGGCTCTATTCGAAAAAAGTGCGTAATATTTAGTTTCCTACAGTATAATAAGGTTTTCGTATGTTTGATTAACGGAAAAGGGATATTCCTACCTAATGCTCATTATGTTTTTATCCATTCGTCAGCGGTTTTTAATATTGCACTGGACTAGGCAGACGGGTAAGTTTGCATATTTTGGTTAGTTTCATTACAGTTCGTTTAATACTGGTTATAAGTGTACTGGTTGACAATGAAGCGGGCTGTTTTTTAAATTCGATAATAACATACAAGGACTAGCACGCATTACTTGGACGGGTTAGTTTGGGTTAGTTTGCATATTTTTGGTTAGTTTCGATATAGTTCGTTGAATACCTACTGGTTATAAGTATACTGGTTAATGTTGTTTTTGAAAATTCAATATTACCATACAAGGACTAGTACGCATTACGTGCACGGGTTAGTTTGCATATTTTTGGTTAGTTTCGTTACAGTTCCTTTTACTGGTTATAAGTGTACCGGTTGACAACAAAAGGCGCTTCGCAAAATATGCAAACTAACCCATACTTACCCGTCCACGTAATGCGTAGGTACTAGTCCTTGTATGGTAATTATTGAATTTAGAAAAACAGGCGCGCTTTGTTATTAACCAGTACACTTATAACCAGTAATAAACGAGCTGTAATGAAACTAACCAAAAATATGCAAACTAACCAAAAACTAAACCGTCCACGTAATGTGTACTAGTCTTTGTATGATAATAACTTCGTGCGCTTTGTCATTATCCAGTACACTTATACAACCAGTAGGTAATAAACGAACTGTGACGAAATTAACCAAAAATATGCAAACTAACCCGTCCACGTAATGCGTGCTAGTGCTTGTGTATTAGTATTGAATTTAAAAAACAGAGCGCGGTGCATTCTTTGTATAGTAATATTGAATTTAGAAAAACAAGCGCTTCGCGCGCTTTGCTTTTAACCAGTACACTTATAACCAGTATTAAACGAACTGTAAACGAAACTAACCAAAAATATGCAAACTAACCCGTCCACCTAGTTCTTAGTAAGTGCAATATAAAAAACTGCTGACAAATTGATGAAAAAATAATGAGCATTAGGTATAGGCGTTTTCTGTAACTGAAACGTACTAAAACCTTTTTATATTGTAGGAAACTAAATATTCTACTAGAACCGAGGAAATTTACTATGAGATTCACAATGTGACGTCATTGAGACGTCGCGATGTTAACTTAAAAATAACGTCCGCCAATAAGTATTCTGGTAGACGTTGACAATATACCCTAATATCAATGTGAAGTTCATTGGACGTTAAAATATCTTACAAGGTCTGGAAAACTTTGACGTTGTACATAGTCGCCATGTAACCAATAGCTGTCAGTTGACGCTGTGACTGTGAAACGGAGTGAATCTAGAAATTTTTCAATAAGGCGAGTTCGGTTAATCCTCCGCGAGCTAAAAAATGACACTGTTGACACAACCCCATGTCATCTTCAATATGAAGTTTTCATGTAGGCCTGTCATCTTTTTGCTCACTGAGGATTCACCAAACTCCACTATTGAGTGACAATAACGAGTTTCGAGTGCACAATGTTCAAACAATCTTGAATATATGCATTGCTTCCGCGGCTGTCAATAGGTCAATTCCGTCATAAATATTTGACGATAGACCTAAAAATTAACCAAAAAAACCACATTTTCCTACATAAACATCCGCCATGATTCATGAAAACGCATTCGCAGGAACACACAAGCACGAGACGGCCGATAAAAAAGAACGCCCAAACTGACAGAGAAAGAACGGCAAAGCGAGACAGACAACTCACACATTCACACAGCTTTTGTATTGCACCGACTGCAAAACAGTACGACGAGTGTCCCGTCCTTGTCCCACCCATCGGGGCCGAAATACGAACTGCGCGCTATAGAGGAAAGGTAAAATGAAGGGATAAGTGGCAGGCTAAAATGGGTGGAGTAAAGGACGGGATGGAAGCCACTAGATTTTATTCTTCCACCCAGTCTCTCCGCGACAGTCGTGAAGGTTGAATCAATAACGATAAGTGTGTTCATTGTGTAACTTTGTGCTTTATATGTTTGAGTAACAATAATTTAACAATTAAGTGCAAAAGTGTGTATGTAGATTGGTTTTTATCGCGAAAAAAAAAACTATCACTAAAAATAATAGAGTGCTATAGTTTATTTAAAAAAAAAAAGTTCTGAGTTAAGATCGAGCAAAATATTAAATATACTATAGAAGTGTTTATCCGCGTGTTCATTTTCCCCTCCACTGTTATACACGAGGACTCGTCATCCATCATGCTCCGTGACGTCATAACTCGGGATTGGTAGTCGGGCTGTCACGTGGTTCGTTAATTGAGCCCGGTAGGCGGGAATCGTGGAGTGGAGTGGGGCTAGAAGGGAGGTCGGCTCCCCGACAAGTCGTTGCCTTTAGAGAATTCCCATAAAATTATTAATGACTATGAGTTCGTTTCTGATGAACCCCGTTTCGGGTTATCAACAACCGCAACACATTTCGGCAGGTGTTGTGGTCGATCCGAAGTTTCCGCCCAGCGAAGAGTACAGCCAAAGTAGTTATATACCGTCCGCGACCGATAATTTTTTCGGCAATCACCACTTGAATCAGCCTCAACATCTCCAATACGGATACCACAATCATCATCACCATCAAGCCAGCTATGGAACGTCTTTGCCTCTATCGAATTCCGGCTACGGTAGTTACGGTAACTATTATCATCACCAGTTACATCATCCTTCGCCTCCGCTGCACCAAGTCCGTCCCGTTCAACCTCTTCACGAACCATCGCAAAATCAACTCCTCAACTGTGCCTCTTTACCGGACGGTCATCCGAACCATCCGCCTCCGACAACGACACCCTCGAACATACTCCACAGTATTGCGGACATTTCTCCGAACGTGTCGCAACCGAGTGACGTGAACAGTAGTGTGTGTAGTCCAGCTTCAGTTGGACATGGACAAGATTCCAGAGGTTCGCCTCCTGGATCGCATTCGTTACAAGAACTAGGGTTACGGTTAGAGGATGGCGTGTCCGATGAACACGACGAGTTGGACGATCATGGTAGTTCGACTAATAACGATGAAGATGACGATGACGATGAGAATGGTGATAGGCAGATTTATCCTTGGATGCGGAAAGTACATGTCGCTGGAGTTGGTAAGTAATTTATAGGAATAATTGTATATACATGACGTGTATTTCTTTTGCCAGAAATTATGCGCATATATAGCTTTGTTACCAATTGCTCAAGCAACTATGTTATTATTTTTTATTTTGAAGTTCAGCTCTCTTTGTTGTCAGACCAGAATAGATTAGCATATCAATTAATCATAATTTTCCTACTTGCTTGAAGTGTTTCTGGTCATAATATAGAAATCAATCATAGGCCTGCCTAAATTTTTTCATAATTCTCATTGCAAAAAAATCTAGTTTTTAACAAACCTTCTTTATTAGGCACCTACCTATTCAATGACAACAGTGTCAATAAAAAGCATCTCCGTTCAGTATAGTATGTAGATTCTCCCTTAGCTCTTCGGCTTCTATTAATCTGGACATGCTATTGATCAAGTCGTGAATGGTTTTTCATAGTGAATCTTCTCCCATCGTTTCCTTAAAATATTCCTGAAAGCAGATCATGTGGCGCCTAAAAGATCATTTTAATGCATCATCTATATGGGTTTCACATCCAAGCTTCTTAGTGATCAGTGAATTCCAGATAATAATTAAACTGTCCCCGACAAATAATGGGCAAATGGAACATTGTCATGTTCTTTTGAAGATGCTTTCTACGTAGAAATGTATATCCAGTCCCCCATGAATAAGAACCAAATCCGCATGATCATCGATAAAAAACATTATTGTTTCACCTTGAGGAGATATTGCAGGTAACAAACCTCTTCTGGACTCCGCCAGACTAAGCTTATGATACTCAATTTTGTTTCTCCTGGAAACAAAGCTCGTTTCCAGTCCTTTTCCTGCAGAAGGCACTGTCAATGAGTCGGTTTTAGTATAGCTCTGTATATACCTGGTACGCAGTAACCAGCAGCTGGTACGCAGTAACCAGTAGCTAATACTCTCTCCACTAGGTTTTTTAAATTCAGTATTAACATTCAAGGACTAGCACGCATTACGTGGACGGGTTGGTTTGGGTTAGTGTGCATATTTTTGGTTAATTTCGTTAAATTTCGTTTATTTCTGGTTATAAGTCTACTGGTTAACAAAAAAAAGCTAAATTCAATATTACCATCATATAAGGAAAGCGAGCTCTGTTTTTTAAATGCAATATTAATATACAAGGACTAGCAAGCATTACGTGAACGGGTTAGTTTGTATATTTTTGGTTAGTTTCGTTACAGTTCGTTACTGTCATTCTCCTTCATTAAGCCTTCTCTGGACAGTTCTTCCAGAAATGACTATGCTTTGGCTTTCTGTTATGCCTCCTCAACTCTAAACTTATAGAACGTCTGTTTCTCAAGACGACTCATAGATCGTCTTATGTATCTGTAGACATATAAGGAACTTATCCTGGGGTTCTATACAGTATCTTCCAACACAATATTGTTGTTGATTGACTCACTTCTAACAAGTAAGCCACATAACTCTGGCAACGCTCTGCATGAACAAAATTTTCATTCTTCATGTTTTCAAGTTTGAGATGTTCTTCAACGACTTCAGCATTTCAAATCCTAGCCGGATCTTTGGTGATATTCTCATTTTCTGATTTTGTTTGCTGACACTTACTGATTATCCAAGGTATATACAATTTATCCTCATCTATACTATTGTTGTGTTTTAGTATATAGTTTTCTTATATTTGATCAGTTATTTGGAATATTTTTCCAGCAGCATGCCAGATATTTAACTTTTGCATTGGGACACCAGTGTGCATGGCATGCCCATTCAACTATACCTATACCAAAAGCTATACATGAGCGTCTATCTATGGGTATAAATTTGAATACGGATTTTAATCTCTATTGCACTTTATTATAACTTCAATTTAATAGTGTAGGGAAATAGAACAACTGTAAAATATAAGGGCGGGATTGTCTTTTCCTGTGTTCTCTCGCTCCTTCCTGCGGTCCCCTCTTTTTGATCTCATGGGCTTCGTTGTTCTTCAGATGTTAGGAATAGACGATATCCAAGATTACACAGTTGACTGTTTTGACGTACAATTATCGACTCTGAACTTGACGTCAATTTCAACATAGATGAACTCGAATGGACTGACCCATCTGATGAGGCTATTCAAGAGGAAACTGATAATGACGTTGTGATGGCAGAAAAAGAATGAGAGGAGCTAATTTCCTTTAAAACTATTATATGGTCAGGGTAAACTTTAATGTTACAGATTACAATACTTATAGTTTCTCAGTTCAGTTGTAAAATTGTATCTGAAAGTATTGTTTTTCAACTTACTTCACACTTCACTTCACTCAATAACAACAACGTCACTGGGAGAATTACTTCATTACTTTTCAAAAATCACTTGGTAAAAAGTCTCAACAATCAAAATTGAAACAGAAAACTTTTTGGATATGCAATACGAATGCAGTTATTTTTCTCCCTTCAAAAACATATCAAACACATTAATATCGTTCTCACGTTGAATGGCCAGCGAAAATTTGTAAAATATTTATAACTCGTCTCAAAGAGACCCTCTCTATGACGTCCTGATCTCGAAACCGCATCACGTTCACAAAAGGGACCAAACAAGCAACAAGAGAATCTGAGAAAGATATAAATTGCCCATCATTTGTATAAATGGCTGATCCTTTCAGATTTTGAAGAGGTGCTTATTTTTTACGTTCGGTTGTCATCTGGAGACGCAATGTTTAGACAACAATGGGATGTTACCTCGATGTTAAAGAGATGGTAAATGTTACAAATTAGTTTGGTCGTTTAAATTGATACTTTTTGGCAAGGATACCTAGTGGCTTTGAAAAATTGACACTTGATAGTTGATATTTGGCTTTGAAGTTTTGAGACTGTAACTTATCAGAAAAATGTTTGCCATATTCAGTTTTTTAGATAAAAAGATACAAGATTCGTTAAAAGTTTGTTTGTAGCAAAATCTTCTTGTCTTTTTCCGAGACTTTTACATATGGATTCTGAGTGTAGTGGGTTACTACCTATTTAACCCTTCATGCTTCTTTGGACATGTTAATTAGATTTCGATGGTCTACCTTGAGTTATACTTAGTTGTCACTCTGTAGAGCTGTCAGAAGTACCCACATTATCAAAGTACTTAGAGTAAAAAGTACTCAAGGTTTTTTAAAAGTAATTGAAGTACAGAGTACATATTTTTCTCAAATGTACTCCAATTACCAAGAACTTAATGAAAGTAGAGTTCTTAACTTAAAGTACAATTGGAGTATTTCAAATACTTTCAAGTACTGTACTTCAAATACATTATAATGGCGTCTTTCTCATAAATATTAAACATAAAACATGAAAATTTTTTCATTTTTAATTTTTCTTGGAACCTTTGTCAAAAATTAACCAACAACCCAACAAGCGTAAGGTAGCTAGCTACACAAGCCCTACCTTCTTACTAAAACGATGAAATTTCAATTTTTTTTTGTTGAGATTTTGTGTCCTAATGGTCTTTTGGGACCCCTTCAACTCCATAAATAAATTATTCTCAAATTTGGAGACGGATTTTATGAAAAAAGGCTCTCAGAAAAATTTAAAAATTGAAAAATTACCCCAAATTGCTTAACACGATTTTATTTCTGAAACTATAAGTTCAAATGAGCTGAAATTTTCAGGGATTGTAGTCCTCTATTAGGATAAGAATCGCTGAAAATTTCAGCTTTCTATCTTTGATAGAAAAAAAGTTATGATCTTGCAAAATTTACCAAAATCTAAATCATGAGGTAGCTGGTCAGTTACCGTCTTACTAAGCCGATGAAATTTCAATTTTTTTTTTGTTGAGATTTTGTGTTTCATAGTCCTTTGGGACCCCCTCAACTCCATACACTAAATTATTCTCAGATTTGAAGCCGAAATCTATGAAAAGAGACACTCAGAAAAATTGAAAAATTGAAAATTCACCCCAAATTGCCTAACACGATTTTATTTCTGACACTATAAATCCAAATTAGCTGAAATTCTCAGGGATTGTAGTCCTCTACTGGGATAATCGCTGGAAATTTCAGCTTTCTATCTTCAACAGAAAGAAGGTTATGACCTTTCAAAGTTTTCCAAAGTCTAAATCATGAGGTAGCCACCTTCTTATTAAAACGTTGAAATTTCAAATTTCTTCTTGTTGAGATTTTGTGTCCTAATGGTTCTTTGGGACCCCCTCAACTCCATACACTAAATTAGTCTCAAATTTGAAGCTGAAATATTTGAAAATAGGCACTCAGAAAAATTTAAAAATTGAAAAATCACCCCAAATTGCTTAACACGATTTTATTCCTGAAACTATAAGTCCAAATGAGCTGAAATTTTCAGGGATTGTAGTCCTCTACTGGGATGAAAATCGCTGAAAATTTCAGCTCTCTATCTTTAATAGGAAAAATGTTATGATCTTTCAAAGTTTTCCAAAATCTAAATCATAACCTCACATCACGACCTTTTTACTAAAAAGATGAAATTTCAAATTTTTTTTGTTGAGATTTTCTGTCCTAATGGTCCTGTGGGATCTCCTCAACTCCATATACTAAATTATTCTTAGATTTGAAGCCGAAATCTATGAAAAAAGACACTCAGAAGAATTGAAAAATTGATAAATCACCACAAATTGCTTAACACGATTTTATTTCTGGAACTATAAGTCTAAATGAGCTGAAATTTTTGGGGATTGTAGTCCTCTACTGAGATAAGAATCGCTGGAAATTTCCGCTTTCTATCTCTAATGTCTGTATTACTTGAAATATTTAAAAATATAAAGTACTTTAAGTCGAGCTTCAAGTACACTTCTGTAGTACTGGGTGATTATCTATATTTTGCACCCACAACTATCTCACCTGTTTAAAGAGTTTCCCAGAAATGTCAAATGTGAAAGTTGTAGGTAATATCAGAAACTTTGCAATGATGTTAGTTATAAGTATACAGGGTGTGTCACAAAAGTGTAGCGAAGCAAAGTTATACTTTTTAAATGGATGACCTCGTATATTATTGACCCAGTGGATTAGCTTTTCCAACCTGAT